CGTCTATTGTGTCATTAACAAACAGTAGTGTGAACAGAGAGAGACAGAGAGGGAAGAGATGACCCTCCCTTTGTGCCCACCCAACAGTTTAAGCTGCATAGATTCTGTTTCTTTGGGCAAGGGCCGGCGTCTCTGAGAAAGTAAACTTGGGGTGACCCTCCAGGTTAGGCCAGTCTGGGATAGGAGCGGAGATCCTGTGATTTGGGGAGCCGCCGTGCTCTGAGATCTCGGCGGGTCCCACTTCAAAAGGAGGGAGGAGAGATCACTTGTGTCGGGAATTTTGTTCCCTCGCCAGTGGGCTGCATTCTTGACCCCGGCGGAGCTGGTTAAACATCATGGACCGCTTTCCTCTTTTGTCGTCAGAGAATCAAGACAGACAACCTGATGTTGCCACCACTGAATCTGTGGTAGGGAAGCCGGCAGAGTAAGCTCATTACCACACAGACACTTTCTCATCCCCCCTGTGTCACATTTAAGGGGTGCTGCTGCTCACAAGGCACCGATTAAGACATCCAGCCAAAGTTGGACTAACAAGTCACAGGCCAAAACACTGATGCTTTATAAAATAAAATTAAAATGATTGCAAGTTAAAAGTCAGTAATGGTGGACGTTTTTAGAGGATTTTTAAGGATATTTCATGTACTTTGGCTTCTTAAAAGAATAAATAATCAGTTTCACTTTCATGAAAACACCGAATGTGTCAAACTCTGTCATTTCTAATAGATTATTTACTTTAAATAGAGCTTCACTACTTCCCAGAACTGGTTACAACCTGTCTATTATGTGAAAGAAAAATACAAATATGTTATATATTTGTTCACAATTCTGTTCTGTATTAAATTTTTGAATACCAATAAGAAAAAGTACTAATTTATGTTGACTCCTGTTACACAACTGTCACTTCTTTCTCTCACACAGTTAAAAACCTGATGACTGTTTTTTCCCAGTGAAACAAAAACGACCGATGACAAGTTTGGCCAGGTATAAGAGAGGAATATCATTATGTCTCATTGGCATTTCCGACCCTATCACCATTAGCTGCAGCGGCACAAAGGAACATGCCTGTGCACATTCATTTCAAAAAAAGGCTGCGTGATAGACACTGTAATCTCACACTCCAGAGGAGCTGCACTATGTACACTGTTCCCCGAGGAAGACACTCTCTGACAGACGAGCAGAGAGATGCACCTGTCCTGTCTCTTGCATAAACGCACCCTGCTTCATGCTCACTGCCCTGCTCTGACCTCGCCCTTGCCCCGAGCTGCACGTGTCTGCACTGCCAACACACACACACACTATACAGCACACTCACACTATACAGCACACTCTACAGCACACTCTGACCTATCTGTACCCTAATATAAATGTCATCCACAGACATTTAACATGTACTCTTGGAGCATTTCCCTTGAACTAATCTGGGCTCTGAAGATCTCAAGGTCTTGTTTGGTAGAAAGGAGGGACTCTACATTGCTGTGCTTTGGGAGAGGAAGACAAGGTACTGATCCAAACCAGTTTTTAACATTTGTCAAGTCAAGACATGATGGCTAAATCACCTTTAAACTGAAACAGCTCAGCGTCAACACATTTCCATCCCATGGTTTTTACTCAGGATGGAACTAGTTAAACATCAAGAATTGTTCATCCAGATTTGGCACAAGACTTAAAAAGAAGAGAAGTTCAGGCAGGAAGATTAGTGGGACTCCCTCATAAAATTTGGAAGCAGTTTACTGGTTTACCCAGTTTGCAGGGTTTTCTGTCAGCCAGTGGTCACATCAGAGCCACATTTCAACTGTTACCTTTTTCGTCGTCTTCTTACTGAATGTTGCTTCATCCCCTCCATCATTTCCACAGCCAGCCATCTTTATAAACCTTTAAATAAAAACCTACGTTTTGTTTACTTGTGGCATGTTTCTTGATTGAAGTATTGTCAAAAGAAGTCTTGAGGTTTAATTTTAAATAGCAAAAATGTTTTTTTTCTCCTTTTTTAGAAAACTTCTTCTAGCAAGAAATATTAATAGTTGAAAATAAATATTTGTTACAAATGTTTGTCATACCTTGTTTCACAATAAGGGTTAAACATTACTTGCTAAATAGTTTTAATGAGACAGAGAGCGAAGAGAACTAGTCCTGCAGTGTTTCTTTCTCACTCCCTCTGTCAGCGCCTTAAGCAACATCTCATGTCTGGTCAAACCTGGGGAAGTGTGGCTGGCTGAGCACATTAAGATCGACTCATTCCTTGCGTGCGAAACAACGGCCACAGAGAAACTGACAAACAAACTCACGCTCGAGGATGCTTGTGTGATATACTCACTGTGTGTATCACCCAAGCAGTCCCAGTTTTTTAAAAGTATAACTTTAGCATTACCAGAGACAACTACATGGTTGAGAATGACCTCATGGAACATTTCAGACTCCAACTATAAAAACAATATGATTTGATGGCAGTACTCAGAGAGATTCAGGAGATAATTGTCTATTTCACCCACAAGGATTAAGTTGAAGCTCGCAGAACTCCCATTTGAAACTAGACTAACTCGAAACAGCTTAAACAGACTCCACTCATTTAATCTAAATAAATCTAAACCAGTTCATAAAGGAGATTTAAACCACTCTGGGACTAAACAAGGTCTTACATTGTTCCCCTAAAGAGACAAAGTTCAGTTTTGTTCTCCGAGTATATAAACAGTAAAGTCTTTGAACTGTGTAGAGATTGTTATTATTAATCAGAAATTACATCATTAAACTAAAATAATCCAGAGCAACAGCAATGTATTTAATAATTCAGCATATTTTTAATATTTTTTTTTATTATTTGGATAGTCCACCTACAGAGTATTTGTAACATTCAACAGCTTATTAGTTGAGATTTAACAACTGTTTTCTGATATTATACCAGTCTGGTCAAAGTTTGGTTAGGTTTAGGCAACATCTTGGTTAGGGTATGTTCATAAATTGTCACATATACTCTGTAGATAATCTGTTAAACATCTACAGAACATCTGCTTACTTGCTGTTTCCAAGATATAACCAATGTCTCATATAAAGCAACTAAAAAAAGAGATATCTTAAATCTGTTAAAAAGACAAAAACGGTATTTGACTTTAGTTCAAAAGAGGTTCTTGTATTTTTTATGTTTTATTGCCTTGTATTGTTATTTGGCCTTTTTTCTAAATCCAAACACACAATCTTACGCATTAGCAACTAAAAGCACTTCAGTCCGCTGCACACTTTGGCTGTCAGGACCATGTTTAAAGTGTTCACTGAGTGGAAAACACAAAAATGCATACAACTTGATGTATGCAATGATTTTAGTGCACATTTGCACATCATGTGACAACATCCCCAGCCTGCATTTGGCTGGAACTCAAAATATTGCATGCTATGGCTCTCTGTCTCCTGTCAGTGTCCCCTGCAAACTATAAAACATTCATAAATATAACCTTTAAAGTGGCAATTTGGTGCCTCTCACTGAAGCTCCGTCCAAGTCTATACTTGTCCCGCCTCAGTTTTCTTTTCCTGAAGCAGTTTGTTTGTGACGCTTGCTCTGCTGGGGTTCTCAAACTTTGCCTTTAGCTGACAGAGGAGCCCTGCTACAGATGGAGGGCTAAGCCGGCGTGATCTCTCCTCGCTGAAGGCAGGAAATTAGCTGCGGTGTGGCTGCTATTACCAGGTGGCGTGTGAGTGAGAATATTAAAACATTTGTTAAGAGAAGTATGCAAAAGGTCTGCCGGTGGTAACGTAGATGTGTAGACGCATATATCAACTTTGGTATCTGTAAAAACTAGAAAAGATTGGCAGCATGTTTAGGTGATCTTGGTTTCGTCACTCACAGCTCAGACGTTAATAAGAAGTTGAACATCAATAGGAACCCCGTGATCTCTAGCTGCCAGTGTCACAGAGCTGTCTTAGTGATTTACTTCTTCTGACTCAGGCTTTAGTTTCTGGTGTCTCACCAGTTTTAGCAAACAACTCCCAACGTTAACAGAGACAGATTTCATAGCTTATCGAGAAACCTCAGATTTGTTAAAAGACAAAAACCCTACATAAACCAAAAACATCAAATATATATATTTGTCCTCACTTTGATTTGATTTTCAATGGAATCCATTAAGTTTTATATCTTCGATCTACTCTGGACCCTCTAAAATCAATATTTATATCACAACAAATCTCTAAATAACTTAAAAGCATCTAAAGAAAAACAAATCACATGCTTAAAAACTTGTGTGTGTGTGTGTCATGATGTGTTTCAACAGATTTCCGGGCGAGACAAATTGATGTTCATATTCATATATTTTATATAATGTATATCAAACTAAAACTAATACAGCATCAAACTTAAAAAGGATCAAGAGAAAAAAAAAGAAAAAAAAAGAACTGAAAACTGAGCAATCCGTTGGCTTGTGGAGCAGTGGATGTTAGAACCAGGGGGAGCGGATACTGAGGGGACACTGCAGATGCTGCAGGTGTCTCATCACATCTCATCCCCACGGCAGACAGCGGACGGAGGGATGGAAGGGGTGAGAGATGGGGCGTGGAGGGTGTGGAAAGTGGAGTTTGGGAAGGTTAAGGGGGTAAATACAGGTGGAGATGAGACGGCCCAGACTTCACCGGGCAACATCTCTTCTTGCTGTTTATTTTATTTAATTTTTTAGCATTTTTTTGATTTCAAACACAAAAACCATGTTCTAAAAAAGCAGCCTTGGTGTGTTGAATGTGGAAACAAGGGGAACAAGTCCAGGTTTTTTTATTTCTGTGACAAAGATTTGTCGACTCAGTCTCTCAATGCTGTTTTCGTACAGTGTTGTATTCGTGTTGTGAGAAAAAACCATGACACAGCTGTTGGGAACGTGAGATTGTGAAAAAGTGTGTGAAAGGAGTTTTTTGAGAGAGAGAGAGAGAGA